ACAGCTTTGTTTTTCCAGGGGACAAAAAGGGCTCCCAAAGTCCTACCCTGCCTTCCTGACACTGGCTCTACTTTTCTACGCTCTAAAAATAAGCAAAGTGCTGGATGTGGCCAACAAGCAGCAGCTGATGTGGGGCAGAGCCCTTGTTCCTGGCCAGTGGCGATGCCAGGGCTGCTTGCACTGGAAAAGGGACTGGGATGCAGCTGGGTTGCAATGGGAAAGAGCAGGATCCAGCAGCCAGGGCTGGCAGAGGTCCTGGTGCAGGAGGGGACAGCAATGGGGCCACCACCTGGGCAGCTGGGGGCAAACATCCATGACTGTGTCCGCTCCTCCTCCTGCCATGGGGGATTTCTGGGATACAGGGATTGCTTTGCTTCTGCTCCAAGAAGATTACAAGGATGTGGCAATATCTCCAGAGGCTGGGAGCCTCTGCTCCAGTGTGGATGGGTTCATCTCAAAGCTTCACCTGGGTCCCAGGCAGAGGAAGATCATGGAATCACAGACCCATTTAGGTAGGAAAATACCTTTAATACCTTCAAATCCAACTGCTAACCCAGCACTGCCCAAGCCACTGCTAAATCCACTCAGGGCAGAGACAAACCCCATGGGGTGTTTATGCAACACCACCAGAAAAATCAATGTTGCTAAGAGTGGCTGTATCCCATTCCAAAAGGCAGGAGCATCTCCTTTTATTCTCCTGTTTGTTATAAAATGCTGACTTGACATCCAGAGATTACAGGAAAACAGACACCATTTGGAAAGCTCGGGTTATGCAGCTCATCACTTTTCCAGCTGACCTGGCTGCAACTCCAAACAGGGAGGTGGCAATTCCCAGCCCTCATGAGCTAAAATAAGGTGCTTGAGCAGAGGGCAAAGGCTGGGCTCTCACTGGGGACTGGAGCCAAAGGGAAATGGGAAAAGAGCTCCATGGCAAGCGCTGGAGCAGCATGAGAGCAGGAGTGGGACACGCAGGATGCAGACCCCGTGGTCCCACCCAGGCCAGGAAGGTCAGCAGGGTGGGATGGAGGTGACATCCCACCGCACAGCCCATCCTGCAGAGGTGCTCTGGCAGGAGCCGAGCTGTGCGAAGCACAAGGAACAGCCCACTCCTTTGAGATACAAAGGCAAAAACCTGGAAGACAAACCCAGCTTCCAGTGCACCAGCCCCGCCTCCCCTCCGAGCCTCGGCGGAAGCAGGTCTCCCCTATCTATCCACCATCCATCCACCTTGAGCGAGGGCTGGGAATGACGGCGGTGCCGGGGGATTAGCCCTGCTCTCCACACCGCTGGAATGGCCTACTTTACCCACACACCGCATCCCCTGCCTGCCGCAGCACCTCCGGGATGGGAGCACAGGCACTGCCCCTCTGACCCCCACCCTGGCACCCCTCGCCACCAGGATCTGCATCTTGGGGCACACCGTCATAGCACAGCGTGCCTGTTGTCCAGCCAGGGTGGGAACAGGGATTTTATAAACAGAACAGGCACCCAGCCGTGGGTTCTGTGCGCAGCCACAGCGCTGACCTTGTGGGGAGGAGAGAACAGAACACCCGGCTCACCAACCCGCTGGGGTGTTCCTGTGTCCCTTGGAGACGGAGCACGGAGCCATTAAATAATAAAATGTCAACTGCAGAGCAGCCCCAGCTCCTGCAATACCCCATGGTGCCGGAGACACTTTGGGCTGCTGCACAAGCAGCAGACATGGGGCTGGTGCTTGGAGGGAGAGTCTGGTGCAGGAAATGTGCGTTTGGGATGTGCAGGGAGGGTTTGGGGTGTGCAGGGATGGTCTGGTGCGTGTGATGTGGGTCTGGGGTGTGCAGGGAGGGTTTGGGGCATGCAGGGATGGTCTGGTGCATGTGATGTGGGTCTGGGGTGTGCAGGGAGGGTTTGGGGCATGCAGGGATGGTCTGGTGCATGTGATGTGGGTCTGGTCCATGTGACATGGGGTTGGTGGATGCAGGGAGGGTCTGGTGTCTGTAATGTGGGTCTGGGGTGTGCAGTGAGGGTCCGGTGTGAGACGTGGGTCTGGGATGTGCAGTGAGGGACTGGTGCAGGTAATGTGGGTCTGGGGTGTGCAGGGAGGGACTGGTGCAGGTAATGTGGGTCTGGGGTGTGCAGGGAGGGTCTGGTGTCTGTAATGTGGGTCTGGGGTGTGCAGGGAGGGTCTGGTGTCTGTAATGTGGGTCTGGGGTGTGCAGGGAGGGTCTGGTACAGGTAATGTGGGTCAGATGCACGAGATGTGGGTCTGGAGGGCACAGTGCAGCTTTGGTGAGTGCAATGCATGGCTGGTGCTGCTGTGTGGGTCTAGTGCATGTCACACGGCTCCAGGGCTGTGCAGCAGGACCGGTGGGTGTGGTGGGGGTCCAGGTGGGTTTGCAGTGCGGGTCAGGGTACATAAGATTGGGTCTGGTGAGTCAGACATGGGTGCAGTGCGTGCCAGGGGGTCCAGCTCACGCCGTGGGCTCTGGTGCAGCA